GACAGATACCCTCTGACAAATGCCCTCTGACAGAACCCTCTGATAGATGCCCTCTTACAGATGCCCTCTGACAGCACCCTCTGATAGATGCCCTCTTACAGATGCCCTCTGACAGCACCCTCTGATAGATGCCCTCTGACAGATGCCCTGCCTTTATGAAGAGCTCTTCATCAAACTTCATTACAATAATCCTGTGATCTTAATTGGTCTCGTCGAGTGATCTTGGCACAAGGGTGGCACATTTGGTGACAAGCACCTTCGCAGCCATTCCATCCTGAGCGTGTTTTTAGGGCTGAGCTACCGGCAAATGCACTGGCATGGTGCAGGTAACTAACCCAGGTGATGGTTTAGTTAGCTAGTTGATGGGCCAACGCTCACACCAAAAAGGATTCATTAAGTTATCATGGGGGTTTCGCATGGGGAATAGGGCATGTTGCGTTGCAGATGGGTTGGTTAGGATAATGAATTTTGGGAATCTGCCAGTAATTGAATTGAAATGGGGTGATAAATTATACAGCCATGCTTTTTCATATTCTCCTGCTCTCGACTGGTCCTTAGCCGGCTCCTCTGCGGCCCTCCATGGCTACCCAGAATGCCCGGCTCTGGCTCGCGCACGGCGATGCTGCCTCTTTTGTAGAAGTTCATTTGATGATGAGATAAAAACCTTTGAGAAACGGCGTGCTACCCCCCCCCCCCCCCCAAACGAGGGCCACATCCAAATCGCTTCTTAGCTCAGCGCCGTAGTTTTTCTTTTTTTTCTTTTCAATTTCATATCCTCGTTGTGAGGCCATTCTTCAGAGGCTGGTCTGTTCACATCTCCCCCTGGGGCAAATAAGCCCCACCGGTGCGGGAAGGGCCAGGTCACATGACTGCCGTCAGGTCATGGCAGATACTTAGAAAGAGTATCACCTTGTTAAGATTAAAACGAGGCCAGGCCCGGATCTCTGGATGCATCGCTCACGGTCGTGGGCTGATTCGCAATCAACATAATTTAATTAACGAGGCACATGGTTAACGAGGCTCTGTCTGCGAGAGTGGCGGGGGGGGGGGGGGGGTAAATGAGGGCAGCATGGACCTGAACAACCTTTTCCCATGGCTGACATTACAGCCAATTGGAGCTTATCACCCCTGTTCTGGGGCGGGGGGGGGGGCTTGCTATCGAGCCCCTGATCTCTGCCATGTGTCCAGACAATGTGGGTGGGTACCAGGCAGCTTCACAGGGGGGCTGCCCAGAGGATGGAGAGTAGGTCCGGGAAGAAGCGTCAGGCGTGGATCACGGGCCCCGTATTTCGGCCTGGCGATGCTCCCCAATGAAAGCACGACGCATCAGGGAAGCGGCTGGTTATTAGGTGGATAAACGAATGACAGAATATGTCCAGGACAGGTAGCACGTGGGGGATAAATCTGACCTCTGACCCATAGACCTCATGCCCTTCATGCGGGGTCAATGTCTGTTCTTTTTGGATCAGCTCTTAAGGCCTTCAGGGAAACAGAAACCTTTTACAAAAGTTACACGGACGGAACCGGCATGGCCAGCCTGAAGAATGGGAATATTCAGATTTTATCCCATCTGAATTTGACTCCAAATCAGACCCTTTATGTTTATATGGGACATGAATTAGTTTTGGTGCTGGACAAAAACACGACAATGACTGTGTATAGATAATACAATACAATAAGAATGATAACAACAGTCTTTCATATACACTGTATTGCCAAAACTATTGGGACACCCCTCCAAATCATTGAATTCAGGTGTTCCAATCACTTCCATAGCCGCAGGTGTATAAAATCAAACACTTAGGCATGCAGACTGCTTCTACAAACATCTGAGAAAGAATGGGTCACTCTTAGGAGCTCAATGAATTCAAGCGTGGTACCGTGATGGGATGGCACCTGTGCAATAAGTCCATTCGTGAAATTTTCATGTTACTAAATATTCCACGGTCAACTGTTAGTGGTATTATAACAAAGTGGAAGCAATTGGGAACAACAGCAACTCAGCCATGAACTGGTAGACCATGTAAAATCACAGAGTGGGGACAATGCATGCTGAGGCACAGTGTGCAGAAGTTGCCAACTGTCTGCAGAGTCAATAGCTACAGACCTCCAAACTTCATGTGGCCTTCAGATTAGCTCAAGAACAGTGTGCAGAGAACTTCATGGAATGGGTTTCCATGGCCGAGCAGCTGCATCCAAGCCTTACATCACCAAGTGCAATGCAAAGCGTCGGATGCAGTGGTGTAATGCCCCCCGCCACTGGAATCTAGAGCAGTGGAGACGTGTTCTCTGGAGTGACGAATCACGCTTATCTGCCTGGCAATCTGAGGGACGAGTCTGGGTTTGGCAGTTTCCAGGAGAACGGCACTTGCCTGACTGCATTGTGCCAAGTTTGGTGGAGGGGGGATTATGGTGTGGGGCTGTTTTCAGGGGTTGGGCCCCTTAGTTGCAGTAAAAGGAACTTTTAATGCTGCAGCATTCAAAGCCATTTTGGACAATTTCATGCTCCCAACTTTGTGGTACCAGGGATGGTCCCTTCCTGTTCCAACATGACTGTGCACCAGATCACAAAGCAAGGTCCATAAGGTCATGGATGAGCGAGTCTGTTGTGGAGGAACCCTGACCTCAACCTGAAAGAACACCTTTGGGATGATTTAGAGCAGAGACTGTGAACCAGGCCTTCTCGTCCAACATCAGTGCCTGACCTCACAAATGCTCTCCTGGAAGAATGGTCAAAAATTCCCATAAACACTCCTAAGCCTTGTGGACAGCCTTCTCAGAAGAGCTGAAGCTGTTATAGCGGCAAAGGGTGGACCAACTCCATATTAAAGCTTATATCCTCCTGAGACCCAAGGAAAAAAGTGTCTTTCAATTTTAGGTTATTTGTCTTTGGAGGAAATAAGACATGACAGATTTTTTCAAATTTATTTTTATTTTTAATTTCATAGCATGTCCTCTTTAGTGTATGACAGGAAAAAATTTGTTTCCTTACATCAGTGAAAAGATAGATGCATAAACAACACGTCCACTACAATGGACATAAATGAATGGGTGGGGTCTCAGGAGGTTATAGTAAGAATGGGATCACATTATAGTTCATGTGTGTGTAAAATTTTGACAGTATGGTGTATATTAATCTGTAAGTTCCTCTGTCCTGGTTTTGATGCTGGTGGATCTTGACAGCAGTTTGTGAGAACTTCTCACTATTCGACCCAATACATAAACCAGTTAGTTGGCTGGTTGTAAGTGGACCAGTAACTGATTTATTCTCAATTCACCCTGGGGAAGAGGAGACAGCTTTTTCTCAGACTAGAAAAAGAAGAAATTTATCAACAGGTTGGAGACATTCTCTAAAACATTTCAGTGTAATTTGCGTTTGTGTATCTCTCGTAGTCTGGCGAGATTGAGCATAATAAGCTTCCGGAATGCACCCTCATACAATTAAATTTTTTTATGTGCAATATTTCATTTAATTTACTGACAAAACAAATGCAAATCTGCGAATGCCTACGTGATTCTGGCCCTGCTTACAGCAAAGGCACGCTCGTGTTTACCTGGCGTTCGTTTGGCAGGAGGGAGGGGGAGGGACAGCTAATTAATGTACAAAACCATTAACAACAGAAGCTATGGTGTGTGGGGAGGGGGGCAATCACCAATTACCATTTATTACTAATAGTGGCTGTTTGTGTGGGTCTGGATAACGCTGGTCCTCAAATTCTGCTCAGTCCGTAATCAAACCTGACAGGTTATTTGTGGATTTTAATGAATTACAGATGGGGTGAGACAGCTTCATGTCAAGGTCGAGGCACCGTGGTTACGTACAGGAAGAGGGGGAGAAGGGCATCAGGTGTTTGGAAAGTAGGATGCGGGAAGGAGAGACGATGAAGGAAGGGCATCGCGGAAATGCTAAGACTTTCCTTATGATGTATTTATGCACAGATATTCCCCGTTACAGGGCGAGTGTGGCTATCGGCAGAAGCCAGAACAGGGGCCACAAACGCTGTCATCTGCTACCATCTTGTGATGGGAGAGTAAAGCTACAAAGATGTCTGCTATAGTGTCTTATAATATAAATATCTCAGGCTGCCAGTGAACGGAATATTATACTTCAGTCGTTCTTTTAATATATCAGGAACGGAGCGTTAAAAATGATGAAGGCAGATCAGCTTGGAGGTGAATAACCAAGCGGTGTAACAAAATGCTGCTTGCTTTGCTGTTCTGGGCATAGATATCAGAGATAGCGTGTGAGTCTGTAAGCCGGAAGAGGGTAACAGAAACGCAGCCTTCATCTCATCTTATTTACTAATGGGTTAGGCAGCCTAATGCGTGTCTGGTGCCTGTGGAGAAGCACCGGTGAGGAAAACGCCCCCTTTCTCACAGAGCTGTGTCATGGTTACATGAAAACACCTTTAATCTCTCCCATATCCTGTAATAATCTCCATAACAAAGGTGTGTCTGTCTCCTGGTATTCGGGATAGCTCAAAGCCATTAAGATTTTGTGCACACTGTCATTTAACTTTTAATAGTTACTTATTTTATCGGTAAACGCTGACGTGGTTTGTCTGCCAGCTTGTGGCCGAGAGTTACTGCATCCCTCTGCCGTTATTCCTCTCTTTTCTCCTCCTGCACCCCTTCCGCGCCCCCTTCTTTCTTCTCTTCTGCCTCGGCAGCTTCCTCATCCTCCTCGTCCTCGGGTATCTCGCCGGCGCGCCTCTCCATCTCACGGACTCTCCGGCGCATGTCCCCTAGCGTGGTGCCGTAGCGGCCCGTGGCATGAGTCAGCTTGGCGTGCATCAGCTGCAGCGCGGCATACATGCGGTTCACCTTCTCCTCGATGTCCTTGGTGTCGGGCTTCAGTTTGGCCGGGTCCAGCTCGATCAGCCCATCCTTCAGGAGGATCTGCCTGCCCTTGTCTTCCAGCATGCCCTTAGCCTCCGGGTATTCGGTGAGCGCCTCCATCAAGTCGTCCTTGGACAGGCAGTAGAGGTCAGAGTAGCCAATGCTCCGGATATTAGCAGTCCGACGGTTACCGGCCTTGCTGCCTTTGATGTTCAGGATTGAGATCTCGCCGAAGTAGCTCCCGTCGCTGAGGACTACGAATTGCGTGATGCCGTCGTCGGCGACCACAGCAAGCTTGCCGTCCTTGATGATGTACATCTCGCGGCCGATGTCGCCTTTGCGGCAGATGTAGTCCCCAGGACTGAAGACCTGCGCCCGTAACTTGAGCACCAGCTCGATGAGGAGGCCGGCTTCGCAGTCCTGGAAGATGCGGACCTTCTTGAGCGTGTCCAGGTGCACGCTAATGGCAATCTCGGCCTTCAGCTTGTCCGGAAGGTACCTGAGCACGTGTCTCTCGTCAGTCGCCTTCTTGCTGCGCCAAAGGTAGTCAAACCACTTGATGACGCGGTCCTCCAGGTCCACGCTGACCTTGCGGACCCGCATGTACTGCTTGATGCAGTCGACCCGGTGCTGGAACTCTGCCCTGGCGGCGTTCATGTTGGAGATCATGGATGCGATGTTGCCCACGATGGTGGCGAAGATCAGCACACCGACCAGGAAGTCTGTCACATGGAAGAAGAACTCCGAATCCAGCACTGGGGACGGGGTCTCGCCGATGGTGGTCAACGTCAACGTTGACCAATAGAGGCTGAAGCTGTACTTCCGGAGCAGCTGGCCAAACTCGGGGTGGTTGGGATCGGGATACACCCAGCTATCGGATCCGAACCCGATGGACTTGGAGAGGGAGAAGTAAAGACAGGCGTTCCAGTGACAGATGATTATGATGTACATGACGAGGTTGCAGATGCGGAAGAGGTTGGGGTAGTGCGTCTTCGTCTCGGTCAGCTTGAAGAACTCGAACATACGGTTCAGACGGAGTAGTTTGTTGAGACGGATCTCCGGGTAGTCGAGCCCGAGCACAAGGTAAAGCACGTCGGTGGGCAACATGGACGCAGCGTCGATTTTGAACTGGAAGCTCAGGAGGTACCGGTCGCAGAGTCTCTTTTCGTCCTTCACCAGCAAGCCTTGCTCCAGAAAGGCTGTTTATGGAGAAAAACCCAACGTTTAAAAAAAAAACAAAAAAAACAAAAACGAACGGGTTGCACCGGGATGACAAAACGCCACTGCAGAGTCCTCAAGCTTCCAAACTTTGCAGCGCTAAGGGAATTCAAAGCACATAATGGGACTCTTACCTGTCCTGGCCTTGAAGAGCATGTCACCCAGATATACCACGTCCGCTATGTAGTCGCAAATAAACCAGGCGACCAGGTATCTGTGCTGCAGTTCTTCAAAGCAGGCCCTGCGCGAGAAAACACGGCTGAAGAGGGGCTACTCAGCCAGGCCACTTTCACCGATGATAATGTTCACAGTCTTTTGTTTTCTCTTCCCCGGAGGGGAACTTGGTTTATCAAACATAAATCAAGAGGTTTTCTGCTTTGGAGATGAAAGCCAGTCTGATGGTTGGAAAGATAAAAATCCCCAAAAACATTCCCCCAGGTAGAGGAGACATCTGAACCTCCTTTTAATATAGGTATTAATGAGAAAATAAATACTGCATTTTTTGCATTTTATATTCAGTGAGATGTTCCATCTATTAATCAGTCAAATTTGTCTTAAAGTTTAATTATACGGTTATTCATTGATATGTAATATTAATTAAACACCTCAAAATATATGCTGTAAATGATTCTTTCTTGTTAAAATTCCAGCTGATCTGGGATTTGAACCAATGACCTTCAGGTCATGTGCTCATAAGTGTAAAAGCAAATGAGAATAGATGCCAATTGTTATGTCAGTGCATGTATGAAGTTGTGCGTTAGGGGGTGGCAACCGAATGGTTGTTGCTTCAAGTCTTGGAGGGTATTGCTGTTGTACCCTTAGAAAAGTTAGTAAAATAGTAAGAACATATGAAAAGCTAGAATTGTAAGATGCCTTTGTTAAAAATTGCAGTTAGGTAGCAAACCAGTAACAATAGCAATAAGCGGGTGAAACCAGCCAGTCACTCGTGTGTTTGAATCTGACTGCGGTGTTTCGATCGCGTAGGGGTCGCCATACCTGGCGATGATGATGATCCAGTTGTACATCACAGGGATGGTGATCACAAACAGCCAGTAATAGTACCTACTGCTCCCTGGGTCGATGACCAGAAGCTCTTTGGGCCTGGAGGGGGGATATGAGCACAGCTGTCATTTTTCAAAGGAGTGTGGATAGCATATCCAACATAGGGATTTTGTTCAGGGCACATACTCGTCTTTTTTATCTTTCTCTTTCTCCTTTTCCTGGTCCTCCTTCTTCTTCTCCTTCACCTGCTCTTCCTTCTTTTTTCTGGGATAAAATGTGTTTTTTTTTTTTTATTCCTATTCGGCTCCAAGTGACCAAATGGGGCAAATCGGCCGATAGACGAGGCTGCTTACTCTCTATTCTCCTTCTTTTCATTTTTCTGCCTTTTCTTTTTCTTCTTATGTTTTCTGGAAAGATAAGGACCAGTTTCCAGGTGAGATCCAGGTTCCGGCGTTCCCGGTTTTCCGGACATTGTTGCGTTTAAAGGGACACTTATTGTCAGCACACATCATCTCGCTTTACGGTGTAACGTTTGATGAGGATGTGCCGTCTCTTCAGGGAGAGGATCTGCAACATGCCTAGGAGGACCATTAATGCCAACGAGAAGCAGCTTATCTTTTCATAATGCATAGGTGATCTACCAACATAGCTTAGATAACAGTTACATTCTTGACTCTAATAACAGTAATTAGGGTAACTGGATCTACTTACTCTTCATTGTTGTTGCTGTTGTTCGCATTAAGACGGAGCCCTGCCATTGGTTGGCAGTCATCTCTGAAAACGAGCCAATCAGACGCTGATCAGTGAAACAGTATGTTACTCTTAGAGCTTCATCAAAGTGCACTTGCAAGTCAAGGCCCTATTCCATTGCGATGGAGAACCTCACTCTCTTCTGTCACATTCTTCCTCCTCCATGTCTCCTTCCCTCCCCAGAGGGATTACTGGGAGTTGTACCACGTGTGTTTGGTGAGTGTTGACCAGCGTCGGCATGATGAGGCTTCGATTGCCCTCCAGAAGATGCAGAATAGGTCAAACAGCAGATCTGACAATGAAAAAACATCGATGCTTTATGTGGGTGAAACAAGCTCCACTTTGCTCTCAGTCCTGATGTGGGGCGGAGCCTTTTTAAGCCTTGACCAATAATAAAAGGAGAAAAAGGCGGGACCTGATTGGGACATTATTATCATATATTATCCTATCATATGTACAGTAACTCTTTACATTTACTGCACCTTTATAATGCATTCATAAAGCATTCGTAGAACATTAATAAGCAGCACGTAAGTATACTTTAACATACTAACATACTTTAACAGCTGTAGTATTCTTTAAAAACAAACATTATAACTGTATAATATAATGTTTGTTAATAATATATATTAAAGCTGTTATGGGATGTTAAGATGTTACGTTGTGCTCATGAATGTTCTATGATGCTTTATGAAGGTGCAGTTAATGTAAAGCATCATTATATGTACTGTGTATTACTCATATCGGTGACGAGAGGGAAACCCTCAAACAGACATAGATTTTATTGTGATATGCTTTTTGAGATTTATTTAAATAATGCATCTGTCACCTTGCTCCACATTTTAGTCTCGTTGTGCAAATTCACTACGTTTAAACATAAAATTCCAGGATTAAACATGAGCGAACATCCGTGCTGTTTCATAAACTGAAATCTGACCAGTTGCTTTTGTGCTGAGATTTTATCCCATGGATTATTCCCGGGACACTTAAGAGACTTGAATTTGTCATTTTATGCCACATTAATCCAAAGATTTGCAAAGAACCATCTTATATAAAGTAGGTGTGAGGTTTCAGTTCAATAATTATGACAATAAGAGAGAATATCAGCAGGACGTAAAAAGGTACATAAGCGGAGATACTGTCTCAGTCACTTGAGAAATCGTAAATTTTCTGTGAGCTCACCCAGCTGGTGACAAGTGGTACGATCCAGCGTCCTCATATACGGGAAAACCCCAGCATTACTAACCAGAACAGATCGTCTGGACCGACTGTGTGCGACTCCTACCAACAAGCATCCGACTGGCGGCACACGACTCACTTTGCTGTAGGAGTCTACTGACTGTGAGCTGGATTTGGGGATTTAGAGTCCGGTAAATATGACAACCCCCCCACCAGAAATATGGATGAGGCTTATGGCGAGACCCATGTCCACTCTCGCTCTCCAAAGCTGCAGCTTTAGTTAGCGTTTCCCCGCTTTTACCTCGGTGTGAAGGTGCTGCTGAATTTCATTTGGCCAGCAGCCCGGAATCACGCGTCTGGGTGTGATCATGCTGTCACATCTGAGCGTAACCGAGCGGCGTGTCGGCTGCGAATCTGCAGATCAGATCGTCGGGGATTTGGGTAAGATGAAGCTTGCTGGTGGCAAGTTTGCCCCACACAGACCCCGGCTGCGGTACTGGTCTGGTGCTGTACTCTACCTTTAATGGACCTACAGGTTCTGAGACCCCTCCTGCCCTTGACATGGAGCCCTGAGGACCATTTGCCCTTGACCCCCACCTCCACCTCCATAGGCTACTAGATGGCGACATCACCTTCGATAGCAGCCTATCCCACGCCAAGGATTATCCCATGGCTTTCCTCTCCTCATCTCTGCCTCGTCAGCGTTCTGAAGCATTCCATAATCCCCCTCAGGCATCAGCCCTACCTGCCCCCACTCCTCTATCGGAGGTTAGACTGGGAGTTGGAACTGTTGTCTCCAAAGGCTCACCATATATCAGGCTGTGTGTAAGGACCAGAAGGTCGTTGGTTCAAGTCCCACATTTGGCAGAGTGATTTCACCATTGGGCCGTTGATCAAGGCCCGTAACCCCCAGTTACTGGCTTACTTTGCTCGCTCAAAAAATGTACATTGCGTTGGATAAAAGCATTTGTTTAAATGTCAGACTGGGCGGCATATTTTATACTGAAATGATTTTATGAAATTTCAGTGCATAACTGCAATTATATTAGCCATAAAGTCATAAATGTGCATATAAATTATATATAATTACAAACATATTGCATGTACCCTATAATAGGGATAGAAATGGGTGGGAAAGATCAAGTATGAATGTTAAAAACACCTCGACACACAGGCAGATTACAGAGCGGGCTTCGTGGCTTCCTTTGCAGTCTGAGTTTGGGTCCAGGGTCCTGATAAATTTCCCTGACGGCTCCCCTTCACCGACCGGAGGATCCCCGTATGGCAGAATGCAGCTTCCCAGCCTCAAAACCCCAAGACGGCATCAGTGATGAAAAAAAAACTCTATTAAAGCCACAAGTGTTTGATGTTCGGATATCAAACGCAGAGAGGCACAAAGAAGGTGCCAGAAAATGGCCGTTCCGTCTTCAACGGGACCCTCTGCCTCAGAAAGCATCTGAGACGTATATTAGGGGTTCAAAAGAAAGATAAGGGAGGAGAAAGAGGGAGAGTGGGTGACCGGGGACGGAGAGAGGCACAGGGCTGAGGTTTTGGGGCCGTTAGAGCTGACTGGGCCTGGGACGGCAAAATGGAGGAAAAATTAAATAAATGACGAGTTGTTAAATGTGTTGTTCGGACAGGCGGGTTGCCAGTCCATCGCAGGGCAGGTACTCACGCACACTCAGTAAAACATTACAGACCCCTTCTGGTAGAAAAACATGCAAACTCCACACACACACAGCAGAGGTGAGATTCAAACCCCAAACTCTTGTAAATGCTGTCTGGAAGAATATCATTCTGACAACTAATTACTAATTACTGCATGTTGTCATCTGCACAGCCAGTCCCCTGGGTCACGTGACCCGTCCAATAGCAGGATTAGTGTTAGTATTTACTGTGACTGGTATATCTGTCTTATACTGTATGTTCTTGCAAGTAATTAGATACAAGATTTACGGTTTTTTTTTTAAAATAATTTTTGCAGAATTAGAAAGAGTAGAACGTGCGCTAAGCAAAACTGTTAGATTGTTTTGAGTGAGTAAACAGAAGAACTATAGATTTTTAAGGCTCGCTTTGTAATTGGCTCACTGTCTCTTTGCAGCTTTTAAAACTATGTCTTAGCAACATAACAACAACATATTAGCAGTTAATGACTTTATGCCCCCCCCCGGTTCCTGACCTATCTGCATATGCAGACGTTAGCTTACATGCTAGTCTGAAGGCACAAAGCACCACAGCATGCACTTCCTGCCACTTCATTTTGGCCTCTGAATAGATATCCCCAGGTCTTCCTTCATTTTTTTCGAGACATGTTCTAATAACGAATTACAACCGACTGCTTTGAAATAAAAATTTTAATCACAGCTGACATAAATACAAGCAAGTAAAGGGACAGCGTTTGGCCCAGGATGAGCAGCAGACCCGCGTGTGAAGAGAGCGGCGCTGCCTCGTCCCTTCATGTGAAAATCCCAAAATGCAAAAGCAGAGAGACAGCAGGGACCTGCCCCGTCACCAGGGGGAGCTGGAGAGGCAGCTCAATGGGGTCCTGACTTTCAGAGGGTGAGTCCTGCCAGATCCTGAAAAGAACGGCACAGAAGCGAGTAGGATTAAGCTTCTCTAAAGGCACTTCGTGCTCTCAAAATACGACAGATAAGATGGTACTTCATAGATCCCTGAAGGGACATTAGGACTCACGGTAAAGGCTTTTAGTTTACTGCAGCCCCTGAGAGCTACAGAGACAGAAACATACAGGATAGTTTCAGCATATGATCTGGATCTGAGGCCCCAAAGACGACAGTCAGCAGCCTCACCGTCAACTTAACCGGCCGCTAATAAGGAAACAGGCAAAGTGGTCACCTTGGCGCCTGACTGCACAGCCTGGGCTGGGGGCTGGGCCTGGGCCTGGCCTTGGGCCTTGGGGGGGGGCTGGGCCTGGGCCTGAGGGGGGGATGGGTTTTGGGGCCCATTCTGTGGCATGGTGTTGGGCGGGAACACCTGAAATGCAAAGAGGTGATAATCAGAATGATCAGAATAAACATGCACTGGTCAGAGTAATAGGAATATGCACAGTTCAGAATAACAAGAATAAATCTGCACTGTACAGTGTAATAGAAATACATCTGCACTGTTTAGAGTAACAGGAATAAATCTGCACTGCTCATAGTAACAAGAATATATCTGCACTATTTAGAGTAGCAGGAGTAAATCTGCACTCTTCAGAGTAATAGGAATAAAATTGCACTGTTCAGAATAACAGGAATAAATCTGCACTGTACAGTGTAATAGGAATAAATCTGCACTGCTCAGTGTAATAGGAATAACTCTGCAGTGTTCCAAGTAACAGGAATAAATCTGCAGTGTTCACTGTAATAGGAATAAATCTGCACTGTTCACTGTAATAGGAATAAATCTGCACTGTTCAGAGTAATAAGAATAAAGTATCTCTGGACACTTATATCTGAAGATCAGACAGACACCAAGAGAAAATGGCTTACGTTCTGGTTCTGGTTCTGCTGAGGAAGCATTGGTGGCATCAGTCCATATCTGGAGAAGATCTGCGGAGGAATGAAACACAGTTGAAGGCCTTGGTTACTGAAAGCACGTTTTCCCGAACCGCCAAGAGCATTACTTTACGTTTTGAAGCTGGCGAGCCATTGCTTCTGTAACAAATGTAAACAGACGGCTTTTCCCAATAATTTATGTGTTAACTTGATGACTTTGAGGCTCACCTGCTGCTGCTGGGTGTAGTCGATGGGGTAGAACTTGGGGAGCGAAGAGGACATAGTTAATTAACTCATATAAGCGTATATATTAACATACAGGCATTAGCTGCAGCTAGGCTATCGTGCTCCTGCGATGTGCCCAGCCAGCACTTACAATCTCCATGCTCTTCATGCCGGGCGTCTTGGGCATTTTGTACTTCAGAAATACCTGGGGTGAGTTGGGCTGTGAGCATGTGAACAACATGTCATTAGTGGGGAGGGCGGCTCGGCCGGGGGCTCTCAGCATCTCACATGATCTCACTCAGCATCTCACTCTCAGCATCTTCTACGATCACGTACCTCTCCAGCTGGACCATTACTAGGGTATCTTGGCATCATCACCTATAAATGAAAAAGGATCACAACTCATTGAATCCTCTGAATGTGTGAATGAAAGTGAATCACATCTGAATGTGTGAATGAAAGTGAATCCGATCTGAATGCATGAAAGAGAGTGAATCTGATATGAATGACTGAGATGAGAGTGAAGCAGAACCGAATGCGTGATAGAGAGTGAATCAGATCTGAATTTGTGAATGAAAGTGAAGCAGAACTGAATGTGTGATAGAGCGTGAATCAGATCTGAATGTATGAATGAAAGTGAATCACATCTGAATGTGTGAAAAAAAGTGAATCCGATCTGGATGCATGAGAGTGAATCTGATCTGAATATGTGAATGAAAGTGAAGCAGCACTGAATAATCTGTACAAGAGTGAATCAGATCTGAGTGTGTAAACGAGAGTGAATCAGATCTGAATGCATGAACGAGAGTGAAGTAGAAGTGAACTTGTGAACAAGTGTGAATCAGAACTGAATGTGAAGTGAAACAAGTCATCTATGAGAATATGCAAATGAGGTCTAAGATGGGAATCTTTTTGGTCGTGTGGATGCATATGAATTACATTAGGAATCAGACTCCGTGTGTGCAGCAGGATAGCTGGGG